GCCTATGTGTAATCTCGTACATCAAACTAATAAAAATCGCCCAGCAATGTAAGCTACCTTAAAAATAAAAAAAAAAAGAATACTAAAATAGTGAGGTTTTATATTAGACTAGTAGTATAGTATTGGTATAAAGATGAACAGCAAGAAAAAGAGATAATAACGTTACAGTATCAAAATATTGATATTTTGACTATGCTTTAACAAAAAGATGTAGATATTATCGTTCCAGATTTTTATATCATTGAACAACTTCAAGGCTCTAATATGCATGATACTAAATATCAACAAATAGTTAACAGAAAAATTAAATATGCAAATAGGTTCAGTAAAATAAAAAGGCTCTTAATGTTGCATTAGATCTTGGATGTGAGGAAGAGCTAATTAATATGATTACTTGCTTTGTTAACCAGAAGATATCTGTTGAAAATATCAATAATATAAATGCATAATTTGATCAATTCAAAAAACTAGTTATAATAGATCTTTTAGTTGTAAAACGTCATAAGTGGCCACTAATAAAAAGATTAAAAAGTTTTTCTGAGTTGCAAAATTATGAAGGGTCAGCATATAATCAAATAACTAAGTCTCAGAATTCTAATAGAATGCTTCTTTTAAATATTGATTCAAATAATAGTCAATCAGCAAATAACACAAAAGAAAGTAAAAGAAAATATATATGTAATATTTGTAGTAGAACCAGATATAATGCACGTATATGCAAACAATAAAAGTTATAAGATATAATAAACATACGTGTAAGCAGTATGATACTAGGGTATAAGTTTATAGCAATAATTGTATATCTATGTAAGTAGTATGAATATTAGTAGAACATAATTCATAGCAATAATTGATATATCATATAATAACAATAGGATATAATTCATTGCAATTGATATAATTTATAATGATCGTGCATAATCTAATCATATGCAATTAATTCAAAAGTTTAGTAATAATTTATTTTACAATTAAGCAAACTTTTAAAATCATAATAACTCTCATGATTTTGATAGCTTACTATTCTGTTATCTAGTAACAATTTTATTTTTTTTAGAAAAACATGAAGTTGTCAAGTAAGTATTATCTGTTATTTGGTTATTAACTTAAGAACAATGTAGCAAAGATTTTGAATGATCATTTACTGCATTGCTACTATAAAAATGCTACTCAAGTAAGTATTAGATTATTAATATCTGATTAGAAACTAATTATTTTTGAATTACTATATAAATGATGCTAAGGAAAAAAAGTATCGTAGCAATTATATTATATTATTAATCAATAATTAAGTTTAGTAATAATGTAGTTCAGACTTTTAATTTCATACTATTATTATATAAATTATGATTAGTTGCATTATATAATTGATTAGTAATATGCTATAATTGTCAAGGTTCCTTTTTCCTAACATCACTTATATGAAAGTCAGTAAAATTAGTTTTAAATTAGTTTAAGATTAGGATTTAGGTTTTAGTTACGAGTTAGGGTTAAGAATCGAGTTAGTTATAGATTAGAGTTAGAGTTAAGAATTGAGTTAGTTAGGGTTAGAGTTAGAGTTAGGGTTAGAGTTAGAGTTAGAGTTAATTAGTTTTGAGTTAAAATATTGTTTATATAAATTTGTTTATATCAATAATTATTATTAAATATATATATTATATATTATATAAATTGTGATTATAAGGTCTGGCGATCTTAGTGTAGTGGTTAGGTTGCCAGACCGCCATGCAAGAGGTCTGGGGTTCAAATCCCA